TGTTCCATCCACGTTTTTATTTTTCAACTTGATCTTCGATAACCGCTTTTGGTGCACTTATTTAACTGCCTAAAACCTCTGGTAACCACCTCTTACATTTTTTGAGTCATTCTCGAGTATGCATGCTTATAGTTTCTGATGTTCGATTTTTCTGGTAAGTACCTTGTCAATCAACTTCTTCGGGTGGAATGTCTTCGAGTGGCCCTAACACAACCCAACAACCAAACTCGTCAAGCAGATATCAGAGGAGGTTATGAAAACAAAGAAGTTGTTCATGAAAATTTCAATGGACTTCTTAATCATGTCAAATAATATATCATACATTTGGAAGGTTGTTGAAGCGTTACACAAACCGAAGGCATCCTTTGATAAGCTAATACACTAAACATGTAATGATAGTCTTTCCTTATAGTTAACTTACTGGTTCGTCGCAACAAATTGATTATACTCAGAGTATTCATATCAAGAAAGCAATAATTAAAATACTTGTCTAGCTAATATCTTCAACATTTGGTCTATAAAAATTAGAAGGGAATGACGATTTCTATGGTTTGGTAGAGTTTTTGGTAGTCAATTAATGACCATTATGATTAGTTCATTAATAATCATAACATTCTCCTCTTTTCGAGATAACTTATTGGACTAACCGTGAACTATTTGAAATAGGATAACCATTCCAACCTTTTGCATTTTTGGTACTCTTACTACTTTCATAAAAGGATTCAACAGCCTTTGGATTTCCACAATTGGCTAGAAATATTTTTCAAGCCAAATATTTTGAAATACAATTGATTCTTTAATTGTTTGAAATAATAGGCAATTGATTCCTTTTCTAATTGTAAGATCTCATTGCTTACAATAAAAAACTCTCCTCCATTTTACTCAAATACACATATTTTAAGTGAGGAGGGAGATATTTCATCTCGAGTTTATATGTTTTCTTGAACTTCGTTATTATTCAACTTCTCCTTTTTATTGTTGAAAATATCATCTATCTCTTGAGTTTTTAGATGCGTCGAACAATCCTCTATTTGTCTCTCCAATGGATCATTAATTTTAGAAATAATATTCACTAACAAATTATTTAAAGTATTATAATTAAGTTGTTGTTGTTTAGGGATGTCCATCATATTGGATCAATCTATCACTATTAAATTTTAATTCTTTAGCAACATTTTCTTGTTTATATTTATTAAAATGTTACTATATTAAATAAATAGGTTATTTTGCAACACTTTTTAAAAAAATGTCATTATAGATAGAGTAACATTTTTTATTTTAATATTATTCTTTTCAATTGTTTTCAAAATCAAAGTTCCATATCGAGTAAAAAAAATTTATATAGGTTATTTTGCAACATTTTTTTTAAAAAAATGTTACTATAATTGTTTTTAAAATCAAAGTCCCACATTGAGTAAAAAAAATATATTTCTTTTATCTCTAATTATTACTCATAATTAAAGTCTCACGTCGAATACATTAATGACTCATAAAGAGTATATATAATCACATAGTTATACTTAAGATAAATAAAATTTGATATTTTATATAAAATTAGTGGTGACTAACTAAGAATATCTTCTCCTAAAAAATAATTAAGAATGTCTTTAATCATCTCTTAAAGAAGTCCTAGGAGTTTATTAGGAGGCATATAAATATATAATAATTGATAGTAATATCTAAATTAAAATTAATTATCATTTTATAAAATGAACAAAATCTTAACAACATCATTAAAATGTTACAAAAATACTACTTTGGCAATGTTTTTCAAATGTTGCTTAATTATGTAAAAATGTTATTAAAAGTCTTTAGCAACATGAACTATATACAACATTTGAAAATATGTTGCTAAAATAAATTAGTAACATTTATACAGAATTAAGTAACATTTTTCAAATGTTACTAAAAACTATTTGTGTTGTAGTGTATTGAACTCAACAATCCAAATTAGATCAGTTAAACTAGTTAGATTTTTTTTTCTGGGTCTAACTCGATCAAAACCAATTAATTACTCAATATTGATTGGTTCAAGTATCATATTTATACATGTAAAATTTGAATCAATCTAAACCAAATTAATTAATTTATATATTATTTTTATTTTTTATTTGGTTAACAATTACCATGTATGAATCATTTTGATTATTTTGAAGAGATTTTTATATTATAATATGTAGACTTTTTCATTCCTTTTCTCAAAGATTCAAAGATACCAATAGAAATTATATTATAATATATTGAGTGTCAACTTCACGCACCATATTGCACATGCAAAATTCGAACCAAACCAATTAATTTATATATTATTATTTTTAGTTTTTTATTTGGTTAACAATTAACATGTGTATGTGTTGTTTTAATTATTTTAAAGATGTTTTTGTGTTACAATACACACTACAAGAAAAACACAAATTTTCAACGGACATAATCCGTCGGTAAAAAGGAATATCTGTCGGAAATAAAGAATTTCCGATGGATTTCTGACGGATGCAAATCCATCGAAAAGAGAGGCGTCGGAAATAATTTAATCCGTCGCTAATTATCCGTTGAAAATTTCTGACGAATATATCCATAAGAAATTACCGACGGATATATCCATCGAAAAATTTCTATTTAATTTTAATAAATTTATTAATGTAACACTCATCATACTCTCAAGAGTTCTATTTCACGACATTTCACTTTTCAGCATGTTTTATCCTTACTTGCACAATTTCTGAGAAACTTCCCAGAAAGTCACCTATCCCTATATTACTTTAAGTTAAGCATGCTTAACCGTAGAGTTTTGATGAAATAAGCTACTAAAAAGTAGATGCATGTTGTTAGTATGGTAGTACAAATTAATTCATTTAAGTCATCTTCAACTATACAATCTCATATATACTTGTACTATCTCTAGATCCTTCTCATTCTGGTATGTCCGGAATGCTATAAAAATATAATAATATATAATAATTATTATATTATATTTAATTAATCTTTATTTATATATATTCTTACTTTAATAATTAACAATTTACTCATTTAATATAAAGTTATTGAGCAATGTAATACTTAGTAAAAGTTACACCGGTGTTATTATAACCCTTCTCTTTTAAAATATTATTCTTATAAATTAAATTTTAACATTTTAAATAAATTATTAATTAACTTAATATATTTATTTATCTTAAATCTAAGATATAAAATTCAAAAAATTTATTTATCCTTATTTTATTTTCTAATTATTAATCATTAATAAAATACTAACTTAAAATCTTATCTAATTATATGATAATATTTTCATATCAAATTGAAAATCAGATATTAGTTATACAAAAATATCAAGATCATACAGTAAATTGTCAATAAGATTTTAGTTAAATAATTTAAAATAATTAATTTTTTAACTTTATTGTTAGCAAATAGTTTATTCTAAACCTAATTAATTTTTTCTATATTAATTATTAGTAAAATTTAATAACTTTTAATTTAACAATTGGATCGATGAAATTCAACATATACCATGAGTTATTGAATGGAATAACTTTACCAAGAGTTCCTTTGTCAGTCGAATATTCATGCAGTAGTCTCTCTCTCTCTTTCTCTCTCTGTCTCTTTCTCTCTTTCTCTCTCTCTATATATATATGTATATATATATATATATATATATATAGATATTTAAAATTTTATTAATCTTTTTTAATATATGATTGTCAATTTTCGTAAAAAATTCTTATATTTTCAACAAATATAAATTTATCAAAAATATTTTATCAGTAATATAATTTTTCTTACGAAAATTTTTTTTCATTGGAAATATAAAATTTTCGACAGATTTATATGTGTCATAAATTACCAACAGATAAATTTGTCAGAAATTAATGACGGATATATCCGTCGAAAATTACCGATAGATATATCTATCGGAAATATAAATTTTTTGACAGATTTATATTCGTCAAAAATTATCCGTCGGAAATATAAATTTTCTTACAGATTTATATCCATCAGAAATTATCTGTCGTTAATATAACTTTTCCTACAAATTTTTTTTCTATTAGTAAAATCCATCGGAAATATAAATATTCCAACGGGTTTATATCCGTAAAAAATTATCCATCGATAATTTATATTTTTCTTGTAGTGACATAGACCTTCTGATTCCTTTTTTCAAAGACTAAGAAACTAATAAAAAAAATATTATAATATATTAAGTATCATCTTCACAATATAGTGCATTTGAAATTATTAAGTAAAGTGAGAAAAGAAACTAAAAGAAATTACATTACAAATAGTCTATCAATTTAGTTAATTTTGACAATTTGTCAATTTAATTAATATTAAAAAAATCTATTTACTTTTCAAAAAAAGCATTTTTAATAAATAATTTTAATTAGATATAAAATGACTTGATCTCGGACTTAATCAAACAATTAAATTTAATTAATTTAAATTAAATTTTTACTTAAACTAGAACCAGACTTGCGAACACCTTTATTACTATTATTTAAAATCATTATTCATCATTAACTACATCTACCATTTTTACCCTGAGACAATTTTCTGTTTTTAACATTCGGATTATGCATGGCTTCAAAAATTTTGAAACTCATTTCTTCATCTTGTATTCAAAGCATGAGCTAGCCTAAATGAACATCAATGAAAGCATTTTATGCACTGACGGCGCAAAGGCTTCTTACACTATCATTCATTCATCGATTGACATGTACATGATAATAACTTTGTCGAGTTTCACATTAATAATTACTTTAAAGATCTGTTTAGTCGTCAAAATATAATTCTAGAAAATAGGATAATTATGTATCATATTATAATTTATTCTTTGTTAACATCAATAAAAAAAATATACTTTTTTTTTTTCAATTACATACATTATATCCTCATTCATTCGACCTAAACTTTATGCCTTTACCAATAAATATGCACACTATATTTCTTTGATATCTCACAATATACTTAACTAATTATTTATATCCTAAAGAAAGATACCAAAAAGATATATATTGTATAAGCATGATCAGTATCGCCCTTATCCAGGCTATAGTATATAAACTCAATTCCTAAATATAGATATTCATATAACTTTATTGTGGATTTGAGGTCCATTTATCTAATCATCAAATTTGTCTCTCTCCCTTTCATACCTCGGAGCCTTCACCTTTATCTTCCTTAACCTTTCGGTCATCCAGATAATGTTGATACATATATGACAAAACCCCCCATATAGCTAACAAGAAGGCTATAACCTTCACCCCATTGATTTTGTCATGAAACACTATGACTGCAAGGATAGGAGCTATGGTCAATTCCAAGTTACCTATTACAACTGAGAACAACGAAGATACCTCAAAAATCAACCCCGACATACCAATGCATGCTATTTGCCACGTCACAGCAGTCCAAACCAGAGTCATCACATATGAAACCCTACCATTTCCGAATTCCATCATCTCCATTTTCACAGTTTTCCAATCTCCACTGACAAACAACCCCACTAAGGTACAACCAGAAGAAATGATGAGAGGGTACAAATTGATGCTCAACACTGCAGGCAAGATTTCTGTCTTCATAACTTTCTCGTAAAAAAGCTGCTCAAGACAGTGTTGTAAAGAAAATGCGGCGGATCCAGCTAGGGCACAGAAGAATCCAATTATTCGCTTTTCTTTGGGAAGATCCTTTGTGTCCTCAGATTCAGCACTGCTTGCAAGTAGGGTAACTGACAAGGTGAGGAGGACTACGGAGTTGAATATCAATGGGGTGAACTTTTGGGAATTGAGGAAGAAGGTGAATACTGCATTAAACCCTAATTGGGATGCACACACTAGGGCAAAAGTAGAAAGAGGAAGATATGAAAGTCCATAGGCATACAGCAAGTCCATTGCTGAAGTAATTAAGCCAAAAACTAGGTATATGAAAAGTAAGATGGGGATTTTAGGTTTAGGTTCGGAGGAATGACTAGGTTTGGCATATTTTTGAGAGTAAAATAGGAGTGGAACTAGTATAGGGAATCCAGCTGATTGAACAAGTGCTGCAACCCATTTACTTTTACCACCTTTCTCAAAGTATAACCTACCCAAAATAGTGGCTGTGCATTGGGCTACTAGAAGAAGCATTATATAAATGGTCACACGAAACCACCGTTTGTATTCTCTGAGTCTTGAATGTTGAGGTTGCTCAGTAAGAACTATGCTTGTGGACATCCTGTGCAAGTTGTGCACTTCGTAGTGTTAACTGTTATAAGGGATACAGATAAAAATTTTACTTTCTTTCTAATATAGAATTCATTCACAAATGAGATGACGAATAATAAGGAGACGGGAGAGAGTTTTTTAACTTGATTTTCACCGAATTAATCTGTCTACTAACTAATAACTTGCCTGAATTGGAGTATTGAATCATTATTTGGACCATAAGTCTTCATATAATCTTTTATATTCAATATTTTACTCTGAACACCCTTTTTTAATATTATTTTCAACTATGCCCGTTGACTCTTTTGTTCCTGATGTAATATTCCATCTATTTTATTAAAAACAAAAAAAACTTTTGGCCTTCATGAAAATTAATTAAGTTATTGAATTTGTCCACGTCTAGTTTTAATTTTGTTGATTAAATATTCATATACGTATACTGCTTTTACCGTCCATTGTTTTAATAAAATAAAATTGAAAATATACATCTCCGTAATTTTTTATTGCTCAAATTTTGTTGAAATACTTGTTTGATTTAACCAAATGACAATACAATGTTGGTTGCTAAATATTTATTAAAAAAATGTATATATGAACGTAAAGGTTATTTAAATAAACTTCTTTTTCAAATACTTATAAAGAGAACAAAATAAAATATATCAATGATGTAAAATATATAAAAAAAAATTGTTATAAATAACTTATTCATTTCATATTTATTTTTACCTTTTTTTCATTTAATTTCTAGACAATGATTTTAATATTAGAATAATAAATTTAATTTATTTCATGTCCTTACTTTTTATTTTATTTTCTTATAATTTTTTCATTAAAAGTATAAACAAGCTACACCAGGTTAAGTTTTGGTAAATTTGAGTCCGTATCTCATTAAAAATACAAAGCTTTAGTCACACTTACTTGTTTGTAGTGGTCTTTTATTAAGGGTATAACATGCATTAAAATGTGATTTGACCTTTAAATTTGTTGAAAACCCTATTATTATAATTGTTCCTGAGTTAGGACACACACTTCAATTATCTTGGTCGTCTCAGGTCAGGTGTAGGGTTGCGGTCTTCTCGTTCTTGTCCGGGCGGTCCGATGTGAGGGGGGGGTGTGCCTGCAAAGATACTCCAACGCTCAAGTAAGTGCTCGGCGTAATAAATGCGGTAGTTGAAAGTTAATTACATACCTCGTTGGGGCTCTATTTATAGACGCTGGTGTTGGGCCGTGATTAAGGATTGGGCCCCGGAAAATTAGGGGGCTAATCCAATGTATTACGCTAATTAAACTCTACAATCGGTCTAGCAAAGGCACAGAAATTGACCGACCAACCCGACACGTTTCACTCGCTTATAAGTGGTCGGTGGGCTAGGGTGATCGGCGTAATTATTAAGGGGTCGGATCCTCAGCCTAATCACTCACGGGCTCGGGTATTCGGCCTAGTTGTTCGCGGGCTCGGGTATTCGGCCTACTCTTTTTTTTTGTTAAAGTTAATTATGTGCGTGTACGTCATAAATGTTCAGGTCCGACCTTAGATAATACTCGTCCGAGCCGAGCACCACGCTCAGCCGATCACTCAAATGTGCACCCGCACCGAACAGGTTTCCCTCCCGAGTACCCTCCTCGGCTAAGGACGTACCTAGGCCGAGCACTATGCAGGAACACCTACGTCGCCGAACTACGCTCGGCCGATCGCTCAAATGTGCACTCGCGCCGAACAGGTTTCCCTCCCGAGTACCCTCCCGAACAGGTTTACCAAAAGTCGACTATGGTAGCGTGGAAATGCCAGGATATGAGTTACGCTCGGCCGATCGCTCAAATGTGCACTCGCGCCGAACAGGTTTCCTTCCCGAGTACCCTCCTCGGCTAAGGACGTACCTAGGCCGAGCACTATGCACTAACACCTACGTTGCCGAATCACGCTCGGTCGATCGCTCAATTAAAGCAAACTCCTCAAGAATGAAAAAGCAAAAGCTGAACTCTCACACGTCTACGTAAATTATCCAAGTTAGAAACGGAACGTCTTTAAAACCGAGCACACTTGCTAACACATGTTACGGTCAGGCATGTAAGCATTTTATAAGTAGACTCAAGAAAATAACTACTCGGAATAGTATACCAAGCAAAGCGCTTTACTGTGGCCGATCAAAACGGCATTACAAAAAATTGTATCAAAACCGACGCCATTGGCCGGAACTACAAAAAAGGCTCTAATGGTCCGGTTACAATAAGTACCCTTTGCCCAAACTGGTCTCTACACCGCGACCGAGCTCGGTGGATCCCCGTCACCAACCACATCTATGATCGGGTCTTCCTCCTCAGTTGACAGTACTGGGGCTCGGGTAGACACACCTCGTCCGGGGGCATCGACGTCGGGCTGAGCCCCTTGGGGGAACTCACCATAACTCATGAACTTCCCACCCAGGAAGTCCCGGCCAACATCAAATTGGAAATCAGCCGGAACCTCACAAAAATGGTACGCTTGCCGGACTGCATGCTGGAAGCCGGCATCATGCTGAGAGAGGATTTGTTCGGTGGCCTCGGCCTCGAACTTAGCAGCAGCCTCTTTAAGGCGAGCAATCTCCGCCGCAGCAGCGACGGCGTTGACTTTCATCCGCTGCACGGTCAGCTTTAAGTCGTCGGCTTCCCTCCGGTGGGCGTCGGCCGCTTTCTTCAATTCTTCGGCTGACTCCGTAGCCTTGGCGTTAGCACTCAAAGCCTCTTTCACGGTCGTCTCGGCGTCTTTCAGTCGGGCCTGAAGCCTCTCAGTCGACACAGCCGATCTCATCATGACGTGCTTCGCCACAAGGGAAGTCTGAGCGTCGAGCTCACAAAACAGCTTGTACTCGGCTTCCGCG